GGGGGGGGGGCGTGCAGCCCCTTCCCACCGCACCTGGCTGGGCTCAGGTCCCCATGAGGTGGAGGCAGACAAGCGCATCAGGAGCCAGCTGACCAGAGTCCAGTTCGTGGGCACTGCAGGCTGGGGCACTACTTCCAGGTGGGCACCTGGGCCGGACAGGACCCGCCAGGGGGGCTCTTCTTATCCTGAGGTGGGCTACAAAGACCATGTGACACTCGGGTTAGCTGTGGCAAGCAGAGACAAAGGAGCGTGTACATTGCCTGGCTGTGTTCTGCCTGGCAGAGGGCATCCACCCAGTGGACCCAAACTTCCCAAGCCCAGGCAGTCAGGCCACGAAGTGGGCATGGGGTGGGGGTTCGGTTGACTCAGCCTTTTTCCTTGACCCAGAACCGTCCCTTGAGGGAAAGGGACCGTGAAGTCCAGCACAACACATAGCTAGCTACCTGGTACAGTGCCACCAAACACCACCTGGTCCTGCCCCGTCCTCACAATGGTGCTTATGTCTGGGCCCATCCTTGCAGCCACGGTGTCAACCAGTCTTGTCAAAGGCCTTCCTCTTTTTGGTTGCCCCTGGACTTGACCGAGCACGACGCCCTTCTCCAGGGACAGGCCTCTCCTGACAACACGCCCAGACAAGTGAGGCGAAGGCTCGCCGTCCCTGCTTCTAAGGAGCGTTTTAGCCAGACCTCTCTCACGAGACCTGTGTGTCTTCTGCCTCCATGCTACTTAGTGTTCTCAGCCAGCACCGGGGGGGGGGGAGGCTCAGTTCCAGTCTCCCCACTTCCAGGTTCTTGTCCTTGTCTCGTAAGAAAGGTTTAGAGTGAGAACAAAATTCAGAGCAGAGTCGGAGGGAAGAGTTGAGCAGAAGGAGGGAGCCTATTGAAGGGGACGCTTTGGGAAAGAGTTGCAAAGGGTCCTGGGCTCTGCTAAAAGGCCAGCAGAATGTAGAGCCGAACCTTGTGTTCGGCCAATGGCAGACCTCCGGCCATAGGCTGGCCTTCTGGAGGGTCTGCTGCTATTGGCGGGTCCTCTGCGGTGTCCCTCCCTTCTCAGGCCCCTCCAGACTTCATGCTGTGCCCTAGTCTCAGACCCAAAGTCCAAGAGCCTCTCAGCCATTGTGGGGGTAGTGTGACTATCTTGTCTTTCTCTCTCTGGTCTCTTCCACTGATAAGGAAAGGTGCTGTAGTTGCCCTTCCCCTGCCTTTGTGTTGGGGAGGTCTGTAGGGGAAATGGTCTCCACCTGCCTTGGTTACAAGTCCTGCCAGAGTCCTGCCATGGCCCCTCCTCTCTGCCAGCCTCTCTCTGCACCATCATTCAAATGCACCAAGTCTTCAGATTTGTGCCATCGGATTGGTTTGGCTCCGACTCATAGCGACTATGCACAACAGAAGGGAGCAGCGCCCAGTCCTGTGTCGTCCTCACAGACGCGCCTGTTTGAGCCCGTGGGTGCAGCCACCGTCGCTGCACGTAGTAAAGAGCCTTCCTCTCTCACTGCCCTGCTGCTTGACCAAGCACGATGTCCTCGGGGACTGGTCTCTCCTGACAGCATGTCCACAATCCCTGAGAGGAATCTCACCATCCTTGCCTCCACGAACCACTCTGGTCCTACTTCTTCCACAATAGATCGGTCTGCTCTTTTGGCGGTCCGGGGCACGCTCAGTAGTCTCCTCCAGCACAGCCCCAACAGCGCATCCACTCCTCTCCGCTCGTCCTAATTTGATGGCCGGCTTTCACATGCATACGAGGCCACTGAAAAGACCACGGCTTGGGTCAGCCGCACCGCAGTCCTCATAGCAACATCCTTGCTTTTCGACACTTCACAAGGTCGTGTGCAGCACAGGGACCCCAGTGCAGCGCACCCTTTGACCTCCTGACCGCGGCTTCCATGAGGATTGAGCCGAGCAGGACGAAAGCCTCGGCAACGTCCATCTTGTCTCCATGACCGTGGTGTCACCTACTGGTCCAGTTGTGAGGGTTTGGGTGGCGGCCGCCATCCTTGATCTTCACCAACAGGAGCCTCGAAGTCCTCCTCACTTGCAGCAAGCAAGGCTGTATCTTCTGCAAATCAGGTTGTTCAAAGGCCTTCCTCCAATCCGGATGGCATCTTCACCATTGAATCCAGCTTCTCCGGGGATTTGCTCAGCATGCAGAGGAGACCACGCTGACGCACACCTTTCCCGATGAAACCATGCAGTGTTCCCTTGTCCTGTTTGCACAGCCGCCTTGATCCGTTACGGCGCACATGGCCGAGCGCCTTCCCACAGTCACCAAAATACCAGTAATCATCTTTCTGGCGCCGTAGTGGCCTAGTGGTTATGCGTTGGGCAGCACCCCACAAGGTCAGTAGTTTGAAACTACCAGTAGCTCCTCAGGAGAAAGACAGGGTGTTCTACTCCTGTGAAAAGTTAGTGTCTCCCGAAGACTCCGGCCTGTGGTTCTGACCCATGCTGTCCGTCTCTGTGCGTGAGAAGGTGGCAGAACTGCCCCGGATCTGGTCTCTGATGCCTGGGTAACCCTGGTCGACCACCCATTGCAGAAGCGGTTCTCAGGGAACGTGTAACCGATGAAAACCCGTGAGATCAGCGGAGAGCAGACAGGGCAGCACCGTCGACACCGGAACCAGCAAACCCCTGGTGACCGGCGGTCTCCCATGGATCCCATTGCCCGGTGGCGGGGTACCAGAGAGCACTGCGCCACGATGGAGTGCAGACGGTGCAGGACGGGAGCAATCTGAGAGAGCTGGCTGGAGGAGGCAGTGGAGTTAGACCCCGCAGAGCTGCCGTGGGGCTGCTCGGAAGCTGTGGTCACTGGAGCATCTTGTTAGAAGGTCCCTAGCCGGGAATGGCTCTGACTGAGCTGTGGAAGGCAGGGCTAGCCGGGAATGGCTCTGACTGACGCTGTGGACCGGCAGGGCTGAGGGGCTGCAAGGCAGGTGTGGAGAAGGCGAGCTCAAGCGGCACCCATTCCCTGCTGCTGCAGGCCCACCGTGAGGAGCACCTTCCCCACGCAGCTCTGCGTGATCGTGGGCCGGACGTGACCTGCAGTCATGTTCGCTCCGCAGCTCACAGTCGCAGCGGCGGCTTCTTCAGTGGAGCCACTGTTTCTTAGCCGAGAAATCACCGTCGATGGAAATCCGTGTGATTTGCAGAAGAGTAAATAAAAATAATTTGATTCAGACCATTAAAGAAAGAAAGAGAGTCTCTGAACCCCCGGGGCCGTTCTTCCCTGTCCTATAGGGCGTCTGCGAGTGTGGGCTCGAGGGAGGCAGTTCGAGTTAAAGTCCGTTACACGGCTTTCTGGTTTCAGCCAAGATTCATCTGACCTCAGCAGTGACATCCCTTGCTCCACTTCCTGCTCTGCACCCTGTCCAGTCCTGCTGCATCTCTTGCTGGATGATCTTTTTTCGCTTGCGTGTGGTCTCAGTGACAGTGTTCTATGATTTGAGCTTTCTGTGGGGTCGCCCTGCTTTGGAGTGGGTTTAAATAGGGCTCTCTTCCAGTCAGCAGACCAAGTTCTGCCTTCCAGATTTCCTGCGTGGACGAGTGAGGGCTTCCAGGGCTTCTTCAGCTTGGTGAAACATTTCAGGTGCTTTTCCACCCATTCCCAGAGCCTTGTTTGTGGCTGATGCTTTCAGTGCGGCTTGAACTTCCTCCTTCAGCACCGCTGGCTCTTGCCCAGATGCCGCCTCCTGAGATGGTCTCAGGGTTTAGGACCAGTTAATGGTGATGGATGAACAACATGAATGTAAAGAATTAGGAGCAGGAATTGTTTTTTTACTTGTATACTTAAGACACACACACACACACACACACACATCTGGGCTTGAGGACCCAGAACTCCAGCAGCTTGGATGACGCCTGGCCTCATGGGGCGGAGCCAGCTGTTCTGAGCCCCCATTTGCCACCTCCTGGCTCCTCCTCCTGGTCCTCCTTCCTGCAGCCAGCAGCAGTGCATTGTGGGAAACTCCCAAGTTCTCCTTTGGCGTCCCCAGCTGCCACAAGCTCACTGTCAGTGGGGAAAGGGCGCAGCGAGAGGTGGGAGCAGGCGTTAGGACAATAACCCAAGGTAACTGGCTGGCGTGGCCGGGGCCCCCGGGCCGGCGTGAGGCTCCTGCAGCCCCAGGAGGGTGGGGGTGAAGCTGCAGCAATGCCCCTCCCTTTGAAGGTCACCAGGGTTGGGAGCATGGGCGCGTGCTCTCCTGGGCCGGGCAGTCAGGGCATGGTGAGGTGGGGGAGTGGGGAGGCATGCAGTGACGTCAGTGCCCAAAATAATTAGAAGGCATGGGGAGGAGGGGCAGAGCAGGCTGCCTGTCCTTTTCCCAACTGGCCCTTCTGCAGGCCTGTGGTGGTGATAGGCCAGGTGGGGTCCCTGGGGACGTGGGGCAGCAAGGGGGCCTCTTTCCCTAACACCCCCACCCCACTGTGACCTTCAAGTGACCTTCAGTGTGGTCAGCTCCCCTGGCCCTGGGCTATGACCACACACTGCTTCCCTTTCCCTATGAGTGGGGGGATTTCTCCCTGCCATCCAGAGCTAGCTAGCCCTTCAGGGAGAGACCCACCTGGTCCAGGCTGTCTGCCTCCAGGCCCTCCCCACGTCCACTCCCGGGTGGGAGAGCCTGGGAAGGCCTTCCCTCTGTCCCAGAGCCCCCTCCCTCTGCCCTGGGGTCTTGAGAGGGAGGGAGGGACACAGCAGGCTCGAGGGGAGGGACAGTTTGACCTCAGAGGCCCTGCCCTCTGGGCCCCCATTGCAGCCTCAGGCAGGGGTACGTACCCCAGCTCTTCCGGCTCCCTGGCAGCCACGCCCCCCCCCCACTGGTCAGCTGAGTGGACCCTGCGCCCTGGCAAGGTCACAGCCACTGAGAAAAGAGGGCACTGTCCTGAGAAGGGTACTTGGTGGGTAGGTTCTGTCTGTGCCTCCTGGCAGGGCCACCCCCCAGTCCCCAGGGTGTACAGCATGCACTGTGAGTACACAGCCATCGGCGTGAGCAGGCGTGTGCACACCCATGAAGGAGAAACAGGGCCCCCTCATCTCTGCCCAGAGCAGCCTCTCAGGAGGCTGTTGGATGGACTGAGGCCGGGGCTGAGCTCCAGGAGGACCCAGGTCTCCATGGAAACATGGAGGCGGGGCCTGGGCAGAGGGCGTCCTCCATCGCCCACTCCCGTCTCCCCTTCCAGGGCCCATATAATGTGCATTGGTGACCTGTCCTGAGCCACCTGCCTCCTGCCTACCGCCGACCACCTTCCTGCCTGCCACCGCTGCCCACCATGGAGTCCAGGGGGAAGGCGGCCAGCAGCCCCAAGACCGACAGCAAGGCTCCCCAGGTCCCCACTGAACCCAAAGGCCCCCCAGCTGTGGATGGGAAAGCCCCAGGGGCAGCCTCTGTCAAGTCTGGGAAGAAAGAGGCCCCTTTGGAGAAGCAGGAGCAGCCCTCAGGCCCTGGCCCAGCGCCCACCAAGAAGACCTCAGCCAAGGCAGACCCTGCCCTTCTCGACAACCACAGCAACCTGAAGCCGGCCCCCGCCATCCCCACCGCCCCCCACAGCCCCGAGCCTGCCCAGGAGCCCAAGGGTCCTGGGGACGGCGCTGAAGAGGATGAGGCTGGCAGCACGGGTCCAGGGGGCCGAGGGCCCTGGCCCTTGGAGAACTTGACCCCCTTGCTGGTGGCTGGCGGGGTGGCTGTGGCCGCCATGGCCGTGGTTCTTGGTGTGGCCTTTCTGGCCCGGAAAAAGTGATGGTCAGTGCCAGGCGGTGCCCAGAGCCCTGCTGGGCTGACCCGGAGAAGCAGTGCATGCCTATAGCTAGTTACACAGGTGCACAGGCCCATGGCAGGGAGCGCCCCCCACGTGCGCACCTGCACACACACATATCCACATGTATCTACCCCACAGACACCGCAGAGGGACTGGCAGATGGACAGCTGGCCACCCAGGACCTGTAGGCTGCAAGGAATTGCTCTGGGCTTCGGACTCGGGGAGGGCTTGGTGACAAATGCTTGGTCTGTCCCATCTGGCTCCCAGGGGCCTGTGGGTAGCATGTTGCTTCTGGGCCCAGAGCTTCTGGGTCAGTCTCTGAAGTCCAGATCCCAGCCCAGTCCTGGTGGGGACAGTAAGGGGCATGGCCAGTTCTGCTCTGGGCCCGTAGCAGGCAGTCTGTCCCCCACTGTCCCTCCCCCTCCCATCATCCCCCAGCCAGGCTCAAGGGGTCCCGGCAGTTCCCTCTCAACCCTGGGGGGCCCCAAGGCTGAAGCCTTTTCCTCTCCAGCCAGAGCCCCACCACCTCCCTCTGCCTTTGTCCTGGGGCTGGAGGTCACTCCTCCCGCCCGTCTGACCGGCCCCTCCAAGCCCAACCAGTATGTACATGCAGTGACCAGGTAGAACAGAGGCCCCCCAGGGCCAGGCTGGCTCTGACTCATTGGCAGCCAGGGCGGGCTCTCATAAGGGACAGTGGATGTGTGACAGCTGCCACTGGCCCAAGCCTGGGTGGAGGCTGAGTCAGAAATAAAGGACCTTGTCTAACGGCCTGCCTGGTGTCCTCACCCCAGGGATTGCTGGCTTGGGTTCGCTCCACCCACACCCTGCCCTCTGGGGTCGGGAGCCACCCAATGACACCCAAATGCCACCATTGACTGTGCCTGGGAGAGGCTGTCCTCTCCCACTGGGATGGGTGAGGCTTCTCCTTAGGGACCCCATGCACCTTGCGTGTGCCCCCTGCTTAGGCTCGGCCCCAGAGCAGCTGAGGCCCCACCGGGCCAGGCACAACTGTGGTCCCTACTCAGCCACTCACCCTGATGACTGTGGACCCAGGCCTCTTGGATGCCTAGGTGGGCAGGCTGAGCCTGTCCCTGCATCTCGGCGCCGGCCCTCTGGGCCCCTGTGCCCGGGGCCCTGGCTTGGGCTCCCTGTTGGATGGCTGCTGGCTGGTGGAGGGGTGGGGGTGGCTGCAGTCTCAGCACCCAGCTGACCACAGAACCATCCGGGCTCCAGCTCAGCGCTGGGTCAGCTTGGTCACCTTGCTGCTCCTGCCGGTGCCTCCATGGGGCCTGAGCTGGTACCCTCAGGCTGGTCGTCTGCCCCAGAGACCCTAATGGACAGACCCCAGACCTGCTCCCGGCGCTGGAACCCCCTGGGCGAGTCGTCCGTGAGGCCCTTGGAGCTGCCTCCTGGGTGTTGGGGGCGGCCCTGGTATGGAGCCCAGCCCACCTGCCTGTCTCCAGGACCCCAAGATCAGGAACGTCCCACTAGGTTGGTTTCTCAGTCTGGGGCCTGGATGCTGTGTGTGGCGGGGGTGGCAGTGGGCGGGGTGAAGCTCTGCTGGGGCCTCCTCTGAGGCCTGGTTTCCTCCACCCCCCATGCACCTGGCCGGAGCCAGGATGACCATCCCCTTCTGAGGCCTATGTTCCTGACGCCCGCCACTCCGGGAAGCCCTGTGGCAAGGAACTGGCAGATGGACCCTCTTGGGCTCATGGGCCTTGAAGGGTAGTTGGGAGTTTGGTGGGCAGAGAAGGGAGAGACGTAGCCAGTGCAGAGACAGCCGTGGGGCTCAGGGGTGCTCTGGGGGGACAGAGGACCCAGAAAGGCCAAGTACCGGCAATAGCTCATCCCCCCACCCCCCATTCTCCTGCAGGCCTGAGAGTCCCCCAGGCCCCCTCTCCACATCCTCCTTGGAGCCGACCCCAGAAGTGGACAGTGACAAACTCTGTCCACCTCAACAGCAGGCCCCAGCTCCAAGGCCGTTGCTACCCCGTCCCCACAGCCCCCGGTCCAGCCACCACCACCTGCCCACCCTGGCCACTGACCAGCCTGTGGGTGATGCCCTGGGGCAAGTCCTGGAGGGCAGGTGCTGCAGTCCCTTAGCTCCGGACACCTGGTTCCAGCCGGGGCCAGGAGCCTGGCGGAAGCTTAGCAGCAGGACTGGGTGGGTGCGGGCAGGTCGCAAGCACAGGCCTCTAGAAGCTCTGGTCCACTCAGGGACTTCCTCTCCCCAGGCCTGCAAGCCTTTCTCAAGGGACAGGTGCCTGCTGCCTGGAGCAACCTGTGTGGTCCCCCGAGGAGCAGACCCTGCCTGTCTTACCCTGCAGCCACCCCCATCATGCCCAGGTGTGCCCCGTCACCTGGTCTGGATGCCGCCCAGGGCATGTGGGTACCCCACCCCTTGTCTGGGCCAGGTGATCCCATAGTTGGTGCTGCACCTATGGGTGTTGACTTGCTCTGAGGAGCCATCAGGTGTGCTTGCTGTGGGGCCAGGTGTAATCTGTCGGGTGGGACTGGCTGGGGTGGGAGTAGTCCACCTGGGGTCTTGGACAGTGAAGTGTGAGGGACCCCAAGCGCTGTAGGTGGGTGGGGCACACCACCCAGGCTCGGGCAAGCCATCCTGAGACAGAAACCAGACTGGGGAGGTACTGAAGGGCATGGTGCAGTGTGCCCACCCATCCCTCCCCCCGTCTGACCCTAGACACCGACTGCCACAGCAGGATAGGGGCTGGGCTATGAGGGTCCCAGTGCAGATAGCCGCTGCCTGGGTCTCTGGGGGCTGGGGCCAGGAGCTGGAGGGAAGCCACCAGGAAAGGGCCAGTGTACCCTGCAGGGGCCGGGCAGCTGCTCAGTAGCTAGCAGCCCAAAGGGGCACCCCGTGCAAGGAGTGGCCCTGGGGTCACCTTGTCTGTGTGTGCCGAGCCAGACTCAGAGTTGGCCTGGGTGTCCCTTGCCCCCGCTGGACCCTGCTTCGTCCATCCCCGCCCCCAGCACTGGCCTGTGTGCCCTGTGGGGTGTGACGCTGCCAGGTTCTGCCAGGAGCTGATTCTGCACCCGGTCGGTCAGGTGCTCACCCAGACCTGGGGCTCCCCGCCACGCAGGCGCCCTGGGTCACAGGTCACACGCACACTCACGGCCGCCAGGACCCTTCCTGCTGCCCTGCACGCACACTCGCACGCCCGCACACACGCCGTGTAAAGCTCTGTGTTGTGAACTGGGCGAAGGCTCCCGCGGGAATGTCCCTTCCATCCAGCGACTCCTGCATACCTTGTTTTCCTCCGGAGCCCCGCCCCTGGTCCCTCCGCTCCTCCCTGTCGCTCCTCCTGCCGCCCCTGCCAGCGCTCTGCACTGGCTCCCTGCGGAGGTGCTGCGCTTTGATGTCCAAAGGTTGGTGGGGACCTTCTGCCCTCAAAGACCGGTCAACTGTTGGTTTGAAACTTTAGGGAGTGCAGCCCCTGCCCTGAGGGTGACAGGGCGGGGGTGGCGGGGCTGTGGTTTGGGGCTCCTCTCCCCGTCCCTCCTCTCCATGCAGGACCCACACAGCCCTACCTCCCGCTCCCCCTGCCTCCTGGGAGAACAGCTCAGTTTAATGAGTCCCAGGGGTCTGGGTGGAGGCTGTGGCTCTGCCGCCACCCTTTGCTGCACCTGAGAGGAAGGCTGGTGGGGGTGGCGCGGGGGCTGCAGATCCTGTGCCCTCCCACTGCACCCAGCCCTAAGCGTGGGGGGCGCCACGTACTCAGACCCCTTCATCACTGGACACCAAGTTGCTGTGGCTCTTGCCCGCTGCACCTTGCCCGCCTTGTCTTGTCTCAGGGACCTGTGCCTCCTAACGCCCGGGTGGTCTGGCTCTCCCTGGTGCAGGCAGGCCTACATGGAGGTGGGACCAGGGGGAGTGTCTCCAGAGAAGTATTAGAGGTGGTCCTTGGGCGATTTTCAACTATGACAACATTTCCTGGTCCGGTCAGCTCTGACAGGACCTCAGATGAGCTCCCAGGTCAGATCCTTTGTACCTGACCCAGCCAGGCTGGCCCCGCCATGCCCAGTCCTTCCATATCTGCCTACAAACTGGGGTGGCCATGGGTGTCAGCCCTGCTCTCATTTCAGGGGGCACAGATGATCTCCACCACTCTCAGCAGCCCGGGGTTGCTTCCTGCAAGGTCAGGTCAGGTACAGAGCCACGCTCCAGTCTTCTTACCCTCGGACACCAACCCTTCCTCCCAGGGGACGTGCGACCTCTCATCCGGCTTGACCATTCCCTGCGAGGACTGCACAATGAACTCATGATTATGGGGGTGATTAGTCAATGATCAGGACAGCTTACTCTCAGCTGTGGCCGCGGGCAGGCCTCTCTCGGGCCCTCTGCCCCTTGGCCCAACCTCTGCTCACGTGGGCACCTGTTAGAAAACTGTCTAGCTCTGACAGTAAGTGTCCAGAGACGTGCTGTTCGGCCAGCCAGCTTCACCCTGAAGGCTCTCAGCTCTAGCTTCCTGGGTTAGCAAACCTCAGGACCCGAGTGCCTGGAGGGCCATTTCCGGGTATTAGGGTGGAGCGTGGGGGTGTTAGCTGACACTTAAAAATGTCTGGACTGTAGCTAAGCAGGTGTTTCCAGTGTGACCCCCACCCCCCACCCCGCTCACTCAGTGGACTCCTGCAATGCACACAGCCAGGCCAGACCACAAGCAAACCCACCCCCCAGCCCCCACCCCCACCCCCAATCAGGATGATATAGGGCCCACAACAGAAGCAACCTGACCGGGAACTTCAGATACTTCATTTCACGGTGCTGACAAGGTTCAGTAACCTGCTGCAGGCAGTTATTACCTGGTATAAAAAGAGCCCCTCCCCCTTAAGGGATCTTTTCCTAACCAGCTGGGGCCACCACAGGGTGCAGGTCTGATGGCCTGGTCTGTAAGCTTCCCAGTGCACTCAGTGTCCTCAGCCTCTACATCTAAGGAGGCTGTCCCTCTTTGGGGCTTGAGTCCAAACCATAGGTGCGCCAGCGAGGAGAGTCAAACCTCAGAGCCTTGGAGACCAGCTCAGGGGCGGGGGAGGGGGGCCTGGCGAGACTCAGCAAGGGAAATCTGAGCTTGGCCATTGGCCTTCCTGTTTGGTCCCTTAGCCCCTGGGACTGGAGTCCCCCAAATACCCCCCAAATTGCTAAGACTCCCGAGTAGAGTAGGAGATGAGAAAGCTAAGGGAGACACACAGCAAAGAGTAGCCGTGCCCCTGTACACTCGTTGGGGCAGTGGGAACCAGGGGGCCAGTGGGAACCAGGGGGCCGGGTGGAGAGCAGCAGGGCGCATGCGGTGTGTGCCTTTGGGCGGCGTCCCTTCAGCCACAGAGAGCAGTGCAGAGCATGGAGCAGCACCCCTCTCACTGCCCGGTGGGCTCCCCTGCAGCCCTGGAGGGCAGGGGGAGTGTCGTCTGATGTTTCAGCCTTGGCTGAGCTGCTCCCTGAAACCGTCCTTTTCTGCCTCTGGAGCCTCCTCTGAGCTTGGCTTCCCCTTGACCGCCTGGGGGTCCGGACCCAGGCTGCTCTCTGGTCTACACAGGCGGTGGGCAAGTTAGGAAAGGAGACAAACAGCATTGCTTTAGCGGGTGTGAGGATGAAAACGTTCCTTGGTTCCAGGCTAGAGAGGTCGGGTCACTCTTTGCACAATTTGCCCTGAAGACACACGTTGTAAGAGAACAAACTTCTGAGCAAGCCAAATGCCTCCTGAACCGGACAATTTGGAATTTCATAGACGATCACGAAAGAGTCTTCTGTTTT